ACAGAAATGAAAACAATCTCTAGCTAGTTGCATGCTTTTTCCAAAGGGAAGCACAGGGGTTTGGCTGGGCCAGTTTCCTCAGTACACACCTGGTGTATATCACTTTAAAAAATAAATTATGCCTCATTAAATTACAATTAAATGGAATCGTGATCATTTGTTTTTCTGGAAGGAAGATGTTTTGCATATTGAAAGCCTAATTTGTTGCAGGTGACAAAAACACTGAACAGATTATCTAATATCACTTCATTTTGGGGGTAATGTTTGCTGGTTAGCTTGTGTATACTCCAGTAGTTCAGAATCTTATTAATGTGGACTGCATTATTTTCACTTCAAAACGTCTTTTACCACTTTATCAGGTTTTGTACTTTTTTTTTTTTTAATTTTAAGGAAGCAAACTTCTCTTGGTATTCTGAAGTAGGCATACTCTTTCTTTTTCTTCAAATGTTCTAATACTATAATAACTGCCCAATCCCTCTCCTCCTCCTTTGCCTGGTTACCATTATCTCTATATCCAGGTAGTATCTATACTTAAAGTCCCAGCTAAATTAAGTTTCACCTCTTCCAAAAAGTTTTCCCTGAATTCTGACATTTGACAGTACTTTCTCCCTCCTTTGAACCGAGGCAACACTAGTTCTGTCTCACATTTACTATGACACTTGGCAGCTTTTACATTGTGCTACTGTAAAATCTTCCTGCCATGGTGTAGTAAGCTCCTTGGGAGCAAGATCTGTCTCTTATTAAGTTTTCATCCCTCTCTGAGCTTTGTATCAAGTTATAAATAAGAAAAGAGACCGATCTGTTGTTTTGAAACTAGGTATGTTGAATTTGGGGGTTCCCTAGATAGTCAATGGGAGATATAATATTTAGGGCTCCCTAGGTAATCTGTGAGAGATATAGCCTAATCCTAGAGAATTACGAACAGTCTGAGAGCCATGAAGAAAATGGATAGCTGTTAAAATCTAGTCGCTAATGACCTTAACTATTGCTGTCAGCCCTGGAGTAGCCCGGAGGTCTCTGAGGAGCTTAAGCTCAGTGTTCCTAAAACCTGACCCATGATATGTGTTCTTTTATTGCTCTCTTACAGAGTTAAAGGCCCTCAAAGGTAGTTTTTCACCCATCCCAGACAAGGCATCAGGGCTAGTGCAAAAACTTGAAAGTAAATTTTATAGAGCCAACGATGGTAATGTTTCCCGAACTTTTGAGTATCAACATGTATCATGCACACTAACAATTTGGGACAAACTATGTAAATTGTCGAAGTAGTACAGAAATCAAAAGCTCATC